TCACAAAATAATATGTGAGCTGCTATGGACCTGCATGGTAGAGCAGGAGGGAGATAATGTAAAAACATATAAACACTGTGTAGCATTAGTTTGTGAAACCAGAGAGAAGTCTGTATCCATATTGCATGACTTTTAATTTGCAGTTTACCCGTGTACTGTAGTTGTTTCCAGTGACGTTCAGTGATTCTTGAGAACGAGCCTGTGAGACAGGAGTTAGATGCGTGGAGCCTGCAGGGGAAGGTGGGGACTGACATTCTGGCTTGTTCTAGTCACACACACACAAAAAGTTAACATAAGACAAATATTTCATATAATACTATTTTAACTAGAGAGAGTCAGGTCCTATTTATGTGCTCTTATTGTAATACTTATTTAGCTCCAGCTTAGAAAATATTACAATTCACATTCAGATGTCTCAGAGACGTCTGTCTTTACATTTATGACCTGAGGGAAATATCTTGTTGAGCATGGAGCACTTACCTCGTATCTCTGACTCGCTGAAAACTGTGTTTCATAATATTGGGGGGGACTTTGAAAACGATGAGGCCGAGGAGGGGGAGGAGGAGGCTGTTTAATATGCAGATCTGGATTCTGTGGCAAAAAAATAAAGTGCAAATTACACATTTATTTAGCATTTAGCCAGAAGCAGATCTTTCAACAGATTAATCCTCCAAAGACAAAACCAAATCCAGAAAAGGGAATAAAAAGAGAACTAATGGAAATAAAAAAGCATTTTTCAAAAGGAATAAATGGAACAGGTTGGATCAGGAAGTCATTTCTGAAATCAGTGGCATGTTAGGTTTTTTACAGACAAGAAATATTTTATTACTAATCTTAATGCTTAAAAATAATCCCAAAAATTCCCTTTGTGGGTTGACCTTGTCTTTATTATCTGTCATTCCATCTCTTAATGATGAGCGCATGCTTTTCTGCACTGTTAATCGCTGTGATGGCGTGCATCCAAGTACCAACTCTCATACCCGTAAAGGCGAAGGGTTTCTCCCTGAGATAGTGCTGCTGCTGGGGAATTCCTGGAGATGAGATGAAAAGAAACGTTTGTTAGTCCGGTATGTGGTCTGAGAATCAACGACCTACTACCTCTCAAGTTGTAGTTGCATGATGTACTTGAGTATGAACAAAAATCTGAGTGTAGTCCAACATTTTATAGAGCTGAGTATTCCTGCTGTTTACTGCTGGGTTGGACCAACATTACCACAATATTACTAAAACTCTGGTAAAATATTATCTCGATTATAGCTGCAAGCAACAGTGAATAGCCAGGCAGTTTAGCCGGTCAAAGTTGACGTGGCAACTGTAGCCAGTGATCAAGAAACAAAGTTTTGTGGCAAGAGATCTAAACAGTTGCTGAAATATAATCTCATTTCCTGTGTGAGGGTGTCTCCACCTTATTCATTCGAATTTAGTCAAACTGAAACTCGTTTGCTTCAAAAGGGATGTGCATAAATACAGGTCCGGCTTTGACCAGCTTTGGCTGGTAGCTCAAGATACTGACACGAAACTTGGAGAAATTATTCAGGGGACGGTCGCCAGCTGTTGTGCCAAAAATGTTCCCATACATTTAATGGGCTGCCGTAGAGTTGCATGGGGGAGCAGGAGGGAGATGAAGAACAGATCAATGAACCGGTGAAAACGCTGTTTGCTTGTATAGTTTCAGAGAAGCTCAGAGAAGAAGCTTTGTCTGTAGTGCATCACTTTAAGTTTGTGGTTTAGTTTGCTTACTTACGTTTGGCGATTCCTGAGAAAGAGCTGGCAAAACAGTTAGATGTGTGGAGCCTGCAGAGGAAGGCCTGGATTGATGATCTGATGTGTTCTTTAAAAAAAAAAAAGAAAGAAAAAAAAAAAGAAAGAAAGAAAGAAAGAAAGAAAGAAAGAAAACAAAAATGCATAATACTATTTGATTCAACAAAGATTCAGGTTCCGTGCATGTATTTTTGTTCCAATAACAATTTAACTCCAGCTTAGAAAATAATATATTGCACATTCAGATGTTGAAAAGAAGTCTGACTCTACATTTATGACCTGAGGGAAATATCTTGATGAGGATGGAGCCCTTACCTCGTATCTTTGACTCGCTGATGAACACGTCTGGCCACAACTGCTGTGGGAAGCTGGAAAACGATGAGGCTGAGGAGGGGGAGGAGGAGCCTGTTCAATGTGTAGATCTGGAGTCTGTGGCAGAAAAATAAATTATACATTATGCAAATTATACATGTAGCATTTAGCAATAAAATTCAAACAATTTTCTGGACTGGCAGGAATATTAAAGTCAGTCAGATCATTTGAATTAAAAAGATACACTCTCCACAAACTCCAAATTTCATCACAGGATACATTTGTGATTATGTGGGAATGCTGTGGAAAAGCCATCGCTAGTGGGAAGAGCATTCCAGTCATTGAGTCAGCTATGGATCATATCAGAGACGTATTGAAGAAGAGGACCTTTGAACAGGATAAACATTCAAAGAAATTACCAAATTCACAAACGAATAGCGAGAAAAGGAATAAATGGAACAAAGGTTTGGCCTGATCAAATGCAGATTGTGTTCTCCATTAGTTATTCCTGTGACTTTCTGGATTCTTGTAACTAGTACAGAATGAATGTAAAAGTTAGGCTTGGCCGTGAGTTTGAAAAGTGAATACAACATGTGGTCTGCATGTGGTGACTAATGTGGTTCCAAAAAGGCATGAAAATGTACAGAAATAGATGCTTGCTTGTTCAGTGACCTCATTAAACACCTCCCAGCTGAGTTTTTGGTCTTTACCAGCAGTGCATGATATCTATCTTGATCAATTCTGGCCCCAGCTGGAGTAAAATAAAACTAATAATTGATGTCACAATGGCTACACCTGTTCTTCTATATGGTCTGTGGTTTTAACACTGACCTGTTATATATAATACATCCGCACAACTCTGAGAAGTTCACATTTAGTTTGTGTTTTTGTCTTATGTTCACTTGTCTAACAACCATGAAAAGGCATTAGCTTCCTTGTCACAAAACCCTCAAGGATGCATAATTCCCCAAGTATTCTTTCTAAAGATAAAAGTACTTTTCTACCATCACGGGTGAATGAGCATTTGAAGCACTTTCTGCAATTGCTGGTTTTTCAGCATTTTTTTTAGTATCGGTTGGTGGTTTGGGAGCAGGACGAGCAGGCTGAGGCCTCTTATAGCCCGCAGGGGATCCACTGGAAGTCTGGTTACAAAAAAGAGGCAATGAATCAATACATACTTATTAGTATCTGCTATCTTTATGAGCCGATATGTGATTAAGTGAAAAAAAGAGCTCAACTTACCGCAGTAGGTGCTATGCTTCCAGCCTTATTGGAGGACTCAGCTTTGTTACTGGTGCTATTGGTTTGTTGATATAATTTCAACCTGGGCGCTGGTACAGGCTTGACTTTAATTTCTGGTTGAGCTTCATGTGTGTAATCAGGCTGTCAAAAATAGCAGGCAATTAGCATTTTGTTATCTGCTGTCCCAGTGCCAAACATGCAGGGACGCTGTGTAAAATTCAAATGAAAGCAGAATGCAATGATTGAGAAATCTCATGAAGTCAAATTGTTTTCAAACTTTTTCAAACTGTTTAAACAGAGAAATATACTATTTTTAAGAGAAAAATTGCGCCATGTTTTTTACCAGCTCCTCTTCTTCATAAACGTCTGCTAGACTTTTGGGAATGAAACGTTGTCTGACTGTAGGCAGGCAAGTTCACAACCAGGACTCTTCTACTACTAAGCCATGGTGCACTATTAGATGCAGTGTGTGGCTCAGCATTATCTGCTGAAATGTCATGGAAACTCTGGATGGGAGCATATGTTGCTCTAAAACCTGTGCATCCCGTTCAGCATCGACGCTGTCCTTCTAAACGTGCAGACCGCCAACGCCATAGGCACTAATGCAACCCGTTAGAAATGCAGACTGTTGAACTGAGTGCTGATAACAAGGCGGATGGTTCTGTTCCTCTTTAGTCTGGGGAACACGGCATCCACGTTATCCATAAAGAATTCCAAATTTCTATTCGTCTGACCACAAAAAGGTTTTCCACTTTGCCTCAGAGACGACAGCAGAAATGATCGTTTTCTATCATCAAACGCAATATAGTACGACAGCTCACCTTAAATATTTGAAATGATTTCTTTGCCCTCTTGTGAATAAAATATGGGTTCACAGGATTTGTGAATCATTGCATTCTGTACAAGCAACAGTTTAATTACAATAATATTGAGTTTAATTAAAGGAAAGCTGAAAGATTTGTTTATTCACATACAAGGCCTAAAATTCCATTTTTTATACCGCTATAAATGTTCAGAATTCTTCTAGAGAATAGATACAATGTTTAAATTAGAGGTGTGAACACCCAAAAAATAAAGACTCGGGAGGTTAATGTGAATCAGTTTTTACCAGTAAAGCGTCCGGGTCTTCGTAGATAGGCTGTTGGATTTCATCTGAGCTGGCTGACTCCATCGTGTCATTTGTCCTTCAGGGACTGGATGACTTTGGGGTTTAAAGTGTGACAGAAATGAAAAAAAAAAACTCATTCTTTTTGATAAGGGAAAAAGAATGCCTATTTGTTTAGCTGATGTGTCAGGAAAACAACTCATAATTAGATGTTACAAGAAATTCTTCTGTTAACCAGGAACTGCTAGGAAGGGATTTTTTAAACCTTTTTTTTTTAATATTTCAGTTTCTATACATTTTATCTCCTGACAATCTTTCAAAAACCTAACTTAATACCTTCCTTTCCCCAGTGCCACCTCTATAACATATAAGACTACACATGTGCATGTGATAGTATGTGGCTGTCTATGGATTTTAGCAGCCATCATGGGCCAGTTATGCACTTACGGCCCTCTCCAGGATTATTGGTTAGTTGATATCTCAGGAAAACACACTTATAAGAACAGCAGTGAACCACTGAAGGCCTTCATTCTAGATTTAGCGAGAATCTTAAAGACACGTGTCAAGATTAGAGATGAAAGAGTTTGTTATGTCATATTTTTAAGGACCTGATGTTCAGCCACACCTGACACTGCCGTTAATAATGGCATTAGACATTATTTTAGATGATTTTCTCTGACTTTATTAGCTCTGTTTCAGGCAAAGCTATTTTCAAGTCCAGTCTACTTGTAACTGGCCATCTTTACAGACAAATTGCAGCAAACAGCGGCTTTCCTGTAATTATTTTATAATAATGGATTGCATTTATATAGCGCTTTTCAGGGCCCTCAAAGCGCTTTACAATACCACTATTCATTCACTCTCACACACTGGTGAAGGCAAGCTACAGTTGTAGCCCTGGGGCAGACTGACAGAGGCGAGGCTGCCATATTGTGCCATCGGCCCCTCTGGCCATCACCAGTAGGCGGTAGGTGAAGTGTCTTGCCCAAGGACACAACGACCGAGACTGTCCGAGCCGGGGCTCGAACCGGCAACCTTCCGATTACAAGACAAACACCCAACTCTTGAGCCACGATTGCCCCTAAGCACTAAGCAATGACAAGTTAGCTTATGTGTGACTTGCATCGCTGATAAAAACGAATGTGTTTTTCCTAACAGAAGCCTTTGCAGGTAGCGTGCGACACCTGTAAACACATCTGCAGTCTGGTTAAAAAGATGTGTGAAATCTTCTTTGAATGAACAATTATGTTCCAAAACATAATTGGAACATGGGATCCAGTTATGTTTTACTATATCTATTATATCTTACACTAAACTGAGTATTTAACTGTATAAGCTACAGCATATAGGCGATAGCTCTTCAACCCATGCTCAAACTCTTGGTGATGGTGACATTTTCTTTGTAACATTATGTAGCTTTTAGGCCTTTTAATATTATATAATATTAATATTGTCTATAGAATATTCTTTTAATTCTATAAAAATAAAATAAATAAACACAAGAAAAGGCCATTCTTACCACTGTGCTCCCGCTTAGAAGGTAACTTTATCTGCTAGTCCTTGTATTTTCCTTCATGACTCCAGTGTGTTAAAGGATTTTAACACACTGGATGCTGTACTGGTAGCACCTGTCGCGCCACAGTGCCTGCTCCTCCCACCAGCATCATGATGGAGGCACAAATATGTGGGTGGATCCAGTTTCTAGATAGATGAAAAATTGGATAGTAATCTAAAGACAACTTTCAAACCTGTTTGTGTGTGTGTGTGTGTGTGTGTGTGTGTGTGTGAGAGAGAGAGAGAGAGAGAGAGAGAGAGAGTTGGCCATTTTAGTTTTGTTTTTTTTCCATGTCTGTATACCTGTCAGTCGATAAGACACTTGTCCGTGCAGGGGATTTAATCTAAAACTTGTTTGACAGGCCAGGTGTGCGCCTGCTTTAACAGCAACTGCTTCTCATGCTTCATCGTGGGATCTCTCAGATTTCTGCCAGTTTGGAGAATGACCGACCTAAGATCCTGTGGGACTTTCAGATACATACGGACAAAATGGTGGTGGCTAACCAACCGGACATAGTGGTGGTAGACAAACAGAAGAAGACGGCCGTAGTGATCGATGTAGCGGTTCCGAATGACAGCAACATCAGGAAGAAGGAACACGAGAAGCTCGAGAAGTACCAAGGCTCAGAGAAGAGTGTGAGAAAATGTGGAGGGTGGTAATCGGAGCACTAGGTGCGGTAACTCCCAAACTAGGCGAGTGGCTCCGGCAGATCTCAGGAACAACATCAGAGATCTCTGTCCCGAAGAGCGCAGTCCTAGGAACCGCTAAGATACTACGCAGGACCATCAAGCTCCCACAACTCTGGTAGAGGACCTGAGCTTGAAGGCTAAACCGCCCACAGGGTCGAGCGGGGAATTTATATATATATGATTCCCCGCTCACCCCGGCGGGCAGGGAATCATATATATCATCGGTGGTTTACCTTTTGACGTTGGGGATATTTTCTTGGCACACTTTGAGTCCCACAACACCAAGTGAGCATTAGTTAAACTGAACAGCCTGAGTAGTGTGCTGACCATGTCCATCCCTTCTTCAACACAGTGTATCGATCATCTGATGTCTGCTTCCAGCTGAATATCTATGTCATGAAGCTCAAATCAAATCATCACAAACTGGTTTCTTGAACATGACAATGATATAGTGGAATGAGAAATTCACATCACGGACATACAGCTGGTAAATCTGCAGCAACTGTGTGATGCTGTCATGTTAATATAGACCAGAATCTCTGAGGAAGGTTTCCAGCACCTTGTTGAATGCATGAAAAATTAAGTTAACGCAAAAGGGGGTCAAAACTGATACTAGTGAGGTGTACCTAATAAAGTGGTTGGTGTTCTGTGTTTCACTTTCTATATTGAGTTGTCTCTGGACGAGGTCTCTTTGTCTCCTGCACATTTCCTTGCCTCCCCTGGTTTTTGGATTGTTCACCTTAGGACTTTGTGATTACATAAAAGCACAGGTTTAGATCACAGATTACAGCTACTTCCATTTTGTTATATAATTATCTGTCATATGACGTGCTGTTGGGCACTCTACACCACACATCATCACATCCCTGCCTATATAAACAGTAGGGATAAGTGTCTAATGCTACCCTTTTACTCCAATAATTACATGGATGTTTAATATATTTGAACATACCTAAAACAGTGTATCCAACCAACAATTTCAACTGTGAGGTAACAGTCTTAAGTGAAAACAAGCCAAAAGTGCAAAAGTGCAAATGTGCATATTCATATTTGAGTAGGGCTTTATATGGTGAGCTTCTAAAGGCAGCGGTCAGTCACTTGGACACTGTGGAATTACTTTCTAAAAGCAGCAGAAGAAGAAAAAATCGAGTCCTTGTGGCTTGGTTACTTCCGTTTTTTATCAAAAACCACAGGCTGAATACTACTCGCCATCTCAAGCATTTGTAAAAACCAACTATCTTATAAACACCAGTGCCTTTACCAAAGATGCAACTGCAGCAGGAGCCCATGTTTTTGAAACTCAATTGACACACACATCTCTCTAACTCTATTTAGTCAGGTCTGTGTTTGAGGAGCCTCATCAAAAGTAGCCTTTCACCAACAGCCAGCAACAAACTGCATGTTTACAGAATATTCACCGAGCTCTTTGTGGGACGTTTTCCGTTGTTTTAATACGTCTGTGCAATGCGCAGTGACCAGAGTAGAACTCGTGACCCGTCACACACCTAGTGCGCCGGTTTGTAGCTCTGAGTGACGGCCGCACTCTTCAACCAATGGCAGCTTCCTTTTCATTATTGCCCTCCAACCGCGGAGCCGCAGAGCGGACAAAGCCGAGTGAGAGCGGATGTTATCGAAGTACTTTCACTCAGCTTTAGTGCGTAGACGGTTAGTAGACGGTTCCGCGTTTCTGCGTCCGTTAGCCTCGGAAATTAAGTGGACTTTTACTCTGGAGGTCAGAAATGAGTCGACTGCAGATACTTTGTGTGGCCGGGGTGCTGCTGCTAGCACAATGCACCGCCATCCTGAGGTAAATAACATTTATCTGCCAGTAGTGATGTAACTTGCGCGTGCTACTATTGCCGTCCGTCCCTCTGACTTTAAATAAGGATTCATGAATGCTCGCGTGCTGTTGTCCTTTCCGGTCTGAGGCAGCACCTGTCGCAGGTGTACTTAAAATATTATTTACTGCCAGTTTTGTCCACTTGAGAGGCTTCAGTGTGAGAAGGGTTTCCGTGTGGACGGCATCAGGAAGCTGCATCTTTGCGCGCGTGACTAAGGCGCTCATCCTTTAATTAAATCTTGTTTTGTTATGACAGAGTTCCTCTTTATAAAACAAGGAGCCTGCGCCGCCTGATGAGCGATAATGGGTTGTCCGTGGATGAGCTGCGGGCTTTGGCGAAGAGCACCGGATCACCGGACAGCGCTCCATCCCCACAGCTGCCCGTGGAAAGGCTGACCAACTTCTTGGATGTATGTATCACCTGCAGGACACTTCAGTTAAAAGTTACAAATTAACAGTTCATGCATGAGCGTAAATACACCTAATGTTAGTGTGCAGGTCTTATTCAAGGGTCAATCGCATATTTTAACCTGTGAGAGAGAGATTTTAAATTAAGTAAATATTAGACTTAAGCACCTGTGATAACACATGTTTTTCCCCCTTTTCTTCTTTGCCCTGTATTTGAAATAACTTGGGGGATGGGAAAAAAAGTCTGAGATTAATGCTAAGATTAATTTTGTGCTGAAAAGGCAAACTGTTATATTGGCAGTAACTCCTGCACGATCCTGCTTAACTTTGTCGGTACTGCATTGTTTCCCGGTTTTGTCTCCTCAGTCTCAGTACTATGGGATTATAAGTATTGGCACCCCACCACAGAACTTCACTGTGCTGTTTGACACTGGCTCCTCCAACCTGTGGGTCCCCTCCATTCACTGCTCCTTGTTGGATATTGCCTGCTGTGAGTTTGAATATTTATTTATTTGTTATTTTTGAAAAAAGGACTTCAGATTCAAAAGCTTTTAGTAACTTTAATGCCAAAGTTTGACGGGTTCTTTCTCTGCCCTGTGCACCACCTTTCCACAAGATTTTATGAAAATACACTGTGTGGTTTTTACATAGCACTCAACAGTCAGAGACAGAGTGCTAATGACTTACTGGAACCACATCCTCATTTAGATTTGACAGCATATGTGGTGGATAATGGCAGGTGCCTCTCAGGGGCCTGGGAGCAGCTCACTGGGCAGCTCCCCATGTATGCAGGAGTATGAAGTCCAACAAATCCATGAATTTTAAGTATGATTGATGGTTTTCTCTTATCAGGGTTTCATCACCGCTACAACTCAAAGAAGTCGAGCACATACGTCAAGAATGGCACAGAGTTCTCCATCCAGTATGGCAGGGGCAGCTTGTCTGGCTTCATCAGCGGGGACACTGTCACTGTGAGTTTGAGAAACACTCAGTCACTCTATCACTAAGCTCTTTGTTTGACTGCATTTCTCAGTTTTGGTGATCACACCATTCCTGGCATTCCTTCGAAACATTTATCGTGTATTGACCATTCCCTCTTATTCCTTTGGCATGGATTGCAGGTTGCAGGTTTGTCTGTGTCTGGGCAGCAGTTTGGAGAAGCGGTGAAGCAGCCCGGGATCACGTTTGCAGTTGCGCGATTTGATGGGGTGCTGGGCATGGGCTACCCCTCAATATCTGTAGCTAATGTCGTGCCGGTGTTTGACACGGCCATGGCTGCCAAGCTACTCCCCCAGAACATTTTCTCTTTCTACATTAGCAGGTTGGTTTGCAATTGACAGTTTAGCCTTACACTGCTGTATTATTTAAACTGTGTAGAGAAGTCAGCTGTGAAAATGTGTTTGGTGTTTTTTGCTAACATGATGGGTGCTTTTTACTTTTACCTTCCACCAGAGACTCGACCGCAGAAGTAGGAGGGGAGCTGATGCTGGGAGGGACAGACCCGCAGTACTACACTGGAGACCTGCACTATGTTAATGTGACACGAAAGGCCTACTGGCAGATCGGGATGAACAGGTGACAAGGAACCTGAGTGGCTTTGTTCTTAAAAGTTGAATAGTCCACATGACACATGACAGACTTTCTGTTCCCTGTTTGTCATGGATACTATCCGTGACGTCAAAGTGAGCGTGCATGCAGGAAAAAGCCATTTCAGATTAGATTAGATTGTTATTATTTCTGCCTACAGAAATATATGTTTCCATAGTGTGGATCTGAGCACATTAAATGCATTAAGGGTATAGGGAATAGAAGGGTGCAGGTGGGTAGCAACACAGCTTGCAGAGGGGCAGCAGCTGTGCGTAAGTTAAAGCAGTATAAGTAGTGTGACATATGTGAGATTTGTCAGTTGGATGTGTGGGCGGATGAAAGTTGGGTTTAAATGTGTGGTGAACAGCAGATAGCGAACATAAGCTTATGCCCCTTCTTTCTTGGTCCCACCATGCTGGTTCCTTCTTACCGTCCCCACAGAGTTGATGTTGGCAACCAGCTGACTCTTTGCAAAGCCGGTTGCCAGGCTATCGTTGACACAGGGACGTCCCTAATTGTGGGTCCTAAGGAGGAAGTCAAGGCACTGCAGAAAGCCATTGG